CGTGCTCCTGCCTCTTCTGCCCGCTCCTGCTTTTCCCTGCGCGCTCCTGCCTCTGGCTGCCCGCTCCAGCCTTCCCCTGCCCCGTGAGTCCCCAGCGGGGCCGAGCTGCCGGGGCGCTCCCTGCCGGGGGCTTTGCTCGGGGTGGCCGCGGTGGGAGGCAGAGGTGTGTGGGAGGCAGAGGTGTGTGGGAGGCAGAGGTGTGTGGGAGGCAGAGGTGTGTGGGAGGCAGAGGTGTGTGGGAGGTGCTCCCGGGACGCGGCCTGGAGCTGTTCCTGATGCACTCGGTGTGCATTGGAGTGCCTCCTCCTGCCCTGTACCTGCGAATTCGGGTGTGCCTGAGAGCTGCTACATGGCGCCGGTGACATCTTGGGTTGTAGGAAATGCGGTTTATAATCTCTGAAAGAGTTCGCAAGATTGAGAACTCTTTCCTGCCTTGAAATTATTATTAATTGTTTTATTATTACTTTAATGGGAGTATTACAATTGTCACTTTCGCTTACTGGTTTTTGATTTGTGGTGTGCACGAGGTAGTTTTAATCACATTAAAAAGTTATTAAAATCTATTTTAGAGACCATTTAATAGGTCGTCTAATGCTCATAGCTCTGTAAAAGTTATATGCCTGTTTATTTTTATGCAAATGTGGTGTGGCAACCCCTCTCTGAGAAGGAAAATACCTTTTTTATTTAACATAGCAAAATTATTTTGAAACTTCTGATCTGACTACTTTGTCATTTCATTACTCTTTTTTTTTTATGCTTTTAAACCCAAGATTTTTATTTCTGAGCTCTCAAGCAAAGCAATACAGCAAATTTGTTGTTATTGAGGTACATTTCTTCTTAACTACACCAATAAAAATTAGCTAGATGGTTGTAATTAATATGTTTAATTAATTAATTAAAATAAAATATAACATTAATATTTTTAAATTGAGTTGATGATGGTCAGCACTTAGCCAAGCAACAACAGGCCATGCTGATCTGGAGCAAGTCCATATTCATTAGCAGAATTAGGTCTTTTGGAACTGAGTCCACTCCTGCCTAAATCCAGGATCATAGATTATAAGCCTGGTTTGTGCCTTTTGCTGTGTTCCTGGTGAAGGGAGCAGGATCCCTCTGCTGCAGCTGATATTAGTCCCTATAGCAATCCAGGAGGGGTATAATTTGCTTTCTGTACATTAAAACAGTCTTGAAATTGCTGCTGAGGATTCAATAGCACCTGCTGGCTGGGGAATCTGGGGAGGGTATAGAAGTAGAATAAAAGTCCTTGCTTCCTTCTGTTGGTAGTAAAAGAAGACAAATAAGATCTCTTTTTACTTCATATTGCACTTTCTTTATTGTGGACAAATGGATGAAAGTAAATAGGTGAGAATAATGGGTGAGTTGAGTAGTTAGTGTTGCAGAAATTTGTTGATAAAATGCATGAAGATGCACAGAAGAGCTTGTCACTGATGAATAAAAAACGAATTGTGTCAGGAAGCTGAAATGTGTGTTTCGGGGAGATTTTATTGCAAAAAGGTTCGTGCTCTTACTTTCTCAGAATCCACTTTTTTGTAAAAATCAGTGGACAGATGGGGCCATGGCACTGGCAGGGTTATAGGAATGCTTCTTTATATATTGAACATTTTCTGTGTGAGTAGTCCTAGAATAAGTGTGGTATCAACTTAGTCTTCCTGGTAGAGTCTTGAGCTCCAATATAAAATTCTAGATCACAGTAGTAATTCATAACATAGTTTGCAATGTCGATGATATAAAATGAAGAGGAAATGAACTTCAATAGAGCAGCAGAAATGCTGAGGGGAGCCTGGGTCCTATTAAGCTGTAAGCCAAGTAAGTGTCTGAGAAAAATACAAGAGTTGTATTTCAGAATCCCTGCTTCTTACCTTTTGGATGGAAAATATTACATTGCTAAAGTGTAAATATATCACAGTAAGGAGTATACAGGGGACATAAAGCAGTTCTCCTGTCTTCATGTGTTGCGTGAGAGATTTTTTGTAAGGGCATTGCAGTCCTATTGACTGATCTGTTGTATGGTTATCTACTAATGTCCTCCTTTTATAGTAGTGGATATAATTTGGCACATAATTGTGGACATTTCTTACATTCTCTATATATAATATTTTACCTCTAGTATTGATTTGTCTTCTCAGCAACATTTTCTTTCATCAGTAAGGCATGAAATGGCTGGATTTTTCCAATGAGACATATGGCAAAATTAAGCTATTGTCTGTAAAGTTTCATCCACAGGAGCTTTTCCAAAGTATAACTAAACTGAGGAGAAGAGAGAAAAGACTTTTTCCAACCCTCAGTCAGTACAATGGTGGTGATAAATTGTGCTCTAAACTGTGACTAAAACAGGAGTAGTTTTGTCCATGATGGTTACATTTGTGTCAGTGTAATTAAACCAGGATATGGGCTCGATACCATCCTTGTGTTTGTTTGTTGTGGGTTTTTTCTTAATAGAATGCTTTCTTTTTCTAGATAAAAACACTGGCCAATGTACTGTGTACTTTTAATTTCAGGTGGTGGAAAAATAAGAAACAAAATGAAGCCTTTCCAAAAGGTCTGTCTTTTCAAGAGCCTGCTTGCTAATTGCTGCTGTCACAGCCAACTTGACAGCTGTCTTCTCTCTCCAGTTGCAAAGAAGATAGGGTGCATGGTGGGACTGCACAGCCATGGATTTTGGAGGCCAAAGCCTTTATTGGACACAGCTCGATTCACTCTGTCTTTGAACAGTCAGCACAGGAAAAAACATCAGAATTCTCAAGCTTTGTGGAAGCATGAGGCTGTGCAGAAGTATCTGGAGACTCTAAGCAAGGAATACCAGCAGATTAGTTGTCAGTTAACTGCAGACTCATTAAATGACTTTGAGCAAAGAACCCTGAGGAGAAGGTGTGCCGATCTGTCCCCCATTGCAGCTGCGTTTCAAGAAATCAAAGAGGCTGAAAGAGAAGTTCAGGAGTTAGAAGCGATGTGCACAGGTAAAGGAAAACACATCTACTTGCTTGCTTCAGAACAGCAGCTGTGCCTGTGATAAATTTGATTGCTCAGCCTTTGAGGAAAGTTTGTAAGTTCAGCCAGCCCTGGAACACTCCCTGGTCCTCCCTCCTCCTGGGAGCTTTTGTGCTGCAAGGGCTTTCTGCATCCAGCCACATCCTTCTATTTTTCTCACATCACTTTAGTTTGAGCTCTTAATATGGTAATTTTGGGAGAGCAGGGATTGTCTGGAACCTCAGGAATATCCATCTAACAGTAATAGTTAGGGAGCATTCATTTTGAGGTTATTTTTTGGTTGAACGGAGAGCAGTTTGAACTGAAGAAAATAAATTAGCAAGCCTAAAACCTTTGATAGATGCAGACCTCAGCTGTGTTATTTAAAATGGGATTCCATCTGACCAGTTCAGTGATATTTATTGAGCAAATGACATGAACTTTCATTAGGCTCTGAGTTGTAAGTTTCCAATTTAAATGGCAAAAGCTAATATTTCTTGGAAAATATTTGGGGAGTCCTTTAAGGAATAAAAAATGATGGTTCTTTAAGAAGCTGCTGCTTTTCAGTAGTCTGTCACAGTAGAAGTTGGGGTAAAAAAAGAATCAAAATTTGTCACTGGCTTTTGTACCATTTAGTAATAAGAAAGTACACAGGGAATAAATAAAAGAATTTACAAAATAAGTAATGGTACAAGATTTGGGGAAAAACTCCAGCATTGTTACAAGTATGAGGAGGTGCACACAGTAGGAAGGAAAAAATGGCATCCATTCTGCTACAGTGGTAAGTATTAAGCCAAGAGAGGGAAACATTGACCTGGAGAGAATGGGGTTTACATTAAAGCAGTGAAGGAGGGGAAAATCAAAGGGTAGGAGAAATCTGTACCCAGCAGTGTGAATGGAGGAGGACAAAAGTTCATGTTGCTTTTCAGAGAGAGAGCCCAGGGGTGTGGACAAAACAGTAAGAGCCATCCTGAAATAAAGATGTAAATGTAACTTATTTAGACAGGTAGAAAACATTTGTATACTTTAGTTTTAAAAATAAATAGATGTTTGTGCTTTTGGAAAAAAAGTGGTTATTTAAAATATTTTAATCCTCAACCCTCTAATTTTCTTCACCGGAGAAAAAAGGAGAAAGACTGAAGGAGACAAGGCACAAAAATTTAATGCTGAAAAAGAAACGTTCTTGAAAGAATTAAAAAGTGTTAAGAAAACTGGAAAACTCACATTTCAACTTAGAAAGGCTGGTTTTGGATCAAATATAATGAAAAATTTTTCTTGTTCCATAAACTATGATGTGGAGGAATGGAGTGAATTCTAGTTGAAAGAAGAGAAAAGAATGGTAAAAAATTACAGCAAATAAATTAATTAAATAGACCCAAATTATTCTGTCTGTACCATTTATCCTGTGGTCAAGTTAAAATACAGATGTCCCCTTCATTTGGCTGTTCACTGTTTTCCACTTAGATCCCTAACTGACCTTCTTCTCTCTGGTACCTGAATTCCTAACAATTGATGTAGGATTTTATATTTGCAACATTCTGTGAAGTAGAAAAATATTTCCCAGTTTCCCTCTAGTGATGTGAGTCATGAGGTAGGTTAAGTGAATTGTGTTTTGCAGGAATGGGATACCAGCCCTTTGAACCTTAGGCTCATTGGTCGCCACTAGACCATCTCTCAGTGATGTTGACAGAATTTGATACTGTCATTTGTCAGTTTGATACTGTTTGTATAACTGATCAATAAACATACTTTTTAGACCAACTAGAAGCCAATGAGAGTCCCGTTTTATGCTGCATCTGTGATAAACCTATGGTTTCCATGCTGGCCACAAAACAGGTTTTCACCTCCTCTTTGTTGCTCTGTTCCCTCACTCTTACTCCCAGCTGCTCAAAGCTGGCTTCAGCCATTCCCTCCGCATTTGTGTTAGTAATTGTCCAGTTCTAATTTAAATCTGGTTCAACTTGGCATGTTAAAAACATACATTTATTCAACCAGACTTGCTTTTTTAATTTCAGTGAGTTAAATTGTTTCGCTTTCTGGTGAGTAGAAAAGTGGAAAGAAGGATGAAAAGGAGATGGGATTCCCTGTTTAAGCAGTGACAGGTTTTCCACTTGACTCCAGCTGTCTTCTAGGTTTCTACTTAGCACAAAATCTATTGCTAACTGATCAACATTTTTTGTTACTGTAAACTGGAGCAGAAAAGGCTTGGAGCTTCTGTGAGCTTTACCTGAGAATGTGTCACAGTTTGTTAGTAAGCTCTAAAATGTGGGAAGGGGCAGTCTAATCACAGGTAAAATATCTTCCGCTCCTTCTAGTACACCTGGAAAGTATGATCACTGAGTTAGCAATGTGCATCCTAGCTTGGGCTGCTTTATTTGAGTGTTTCATGCTGGCAAAACATTACTAGCTTTTCTGTGCTACAGTGCATGTCTTTGGACAGCTGTGTTATAATTTGCTCTAGGTGAGATTGGCTAACATCTATTCCTGTTGTTGGAATTTAGAGCTAGACAGCAGAGATGAGAAACAACTTCTAGAGCTTGCCTTAGAAGAGAAGGAAAGCCTGGATAAAAAAATGAACATGTTGTGCAGAAAGGTGAGCCTGAGGTAAAATTTTACAGCTTTGTAAATAAAGATGTCAGAAAAACTTTCCTTTATGATCTTACCAATAGATTCTGACACTTGAACTTAATGATACAGAAGTCCAGCTTCTGTGTTCTCCCTGAAAAGAATTGGCAACATTAATCATTAGTGAGCTTTTTAGTGACAATTGTGTCTTAGACGATGACTAATTGAGTAATTTTTCTTGCTTGCTTGTCTGTCTGCAAATGCTGAAGGGGATTAAAAAAGTGGTGAGTCTGTGCTACTGAGACTTGATGTGACATCCTAGTAACTGTTTGTGGCAGTGGAGCATGCACTCTTGAAGGATTTCTGACTGGAGCTTGAAGTCCTTCATTTTCTCTTCAGTTGACAGCACCCCATGAGTGGGGAAAATATAAGCAAAGAAGTTGAAACAATTCAGTGGAGACTACTGTGTTTGGGCTCATTTCTATATTCAGACTAAAATAATATGAAATGTGACTTTCTGAAAAGTAAGATTAATGTAAAGATTGTCTGGGTTAACTTTGTCTTCATAGGTAGCTGGGGCTGAGGTGGGTGACCTGGCACCTGACTTGGCAGTACTGGATTTTCAGCTAGCTGTCATGTGCACTAGCATGTTGCAGTTCCACACTGACTGCACCGAGTTTTTAGTCACTTAACTAGCTTGCCAAAGGAAGTCAGTGGTTTTGTGTGTTCAGGCTGTGGCAATTGTAAAGGCTGGCTGTAAATTTGATTAAGAAAAGATCCAGGGTCATTCTTTTTTTTTCTTTTTTTTTTTTTTTTTTTTCAGCTTTTCCAGCTTCTAGTGCCAAAGGAAAAATATGATAGAAGTCCTGTCATATTAGAAGTGACAGCTGGCAGAACAACTGGAGGTCAGCAAAGCCCCTACAGTGAAGATTGCTTCCAATCTCCATCCAACTCCATTAAACCTCTTATGGGTTATTCTTAATTCTTTTTTTATACTTTATTGGCATAAAGTAATACTTTCTAAAGATGAGCATTAACCTGCCTAATGACTGGGGTTAGAGTTGCAGCTAAGTGTAAAAACTGCTGTTTATGTAGTAATGCCTTTTAATTTTTAGGGGACATCTGCCAGCAGTTCACTAAAGAAATGTTTGAGATGTACCAGAGCTATGCCGACTACAAGCATTGGACCTTTGACATAATGAACTATACGCCAGCTGAGATAGGTACAGCAGTTCTTCAGTGGTTCCACCAAGACAATAAAATTGAAAGCAGTGGTTCTCTGCTGTTTTTGTCACACACTGTTTGTCTCTTCAGGAGGCTTGCATCATGCTGCTGCTCATATTTCAGGAGAGAATGTCTACAGGCATCTGAAATATGAAGGAGGAACTCACCGAGTCCAGCGAATCCCTGAGACAGGCATGTCATCAAGGATGCAGCGTATTCACACTGGGACAATGTCAGTCATTGTCCTCCCTCAGCCAGAGGAGGTAAGCTGTTCATTGGCATGGCAAGGTGGTGCTGAACCCTTGCTCACCCATTTTGACATTGGAGTAGGTGTTATTTAAAACCATGTTACTGTTCTGGGGATTTCACTGATAACCAAGTGCTTTGTGCAAGTCCCAGTGAAAGAACCGCAAGTGTTCTGACTCTGGGAGGTGATAGTCCTTGGCTCTGTACCTTACATGTATAAATGCATCTTCAGAAGCGACTTTGCAGAGATTTGCTGTTGCCTAAAATGGCATTTGAGTGATCATTTGATTAAGTGTTCCAGCCCCAACACTGACAAGGCTCACTGCTATGAGTAAGCCAATTTTAAATTACATTACAAATTTAGACATAGAATATATCCAAGAAAATACTAAGTGTTGTATAGTAATGTGGTTCTGTACACCTTTTGATTATTTTTTTTTATTTTATTTTTTTCATTTAAATTATTGATGTCCTTCTCTGGTAAATCAAGGACAGTCTCCTTTGAATGTGAATGAGTGTGTTGGCTAGTCTGTCTGAGATCTTGCTGATACCAACAATTCTCACTTAGACCACCAATTTACACAAAAAATAAGCAAAACCAGATCCTGTAGGCGTTTCCTGCAGCTTCTCCTGCTTCTTCATAATACTTTCCTTGCAACATTGATCAGATCTGAATGTTTCTTTCCCATCCACTGAGCTCAAACTATGGTCCAGGTCATCATGGACTCCTATTTCCAGTATGGCAATCCTTACTTGAATGAATCTGGATATACCTATTTTCTCCTCAGATGATTCTAAGAACTGTTGCAAGAATCATTCAGGCTTGACTCATGAACAAGATCCTTGCACTAATGTTTAGAAGTGGTTTTTCATTATTTGCTTATTTCTTAGTCTCTCTGCCAAAGCTAGTGGTTTTGCAAAACAGTGATTTTGTTTTGTTTCACACACATACTTACCTTGTTTTGTGAAGGACCTGGAGTAAGAGTTTGAAAAACTGAGTGAAATCTTTCAGACATCATTTGCTTTTCAGAAATATTTGACATGGAATTTTTAAAATTATAATGGTTATGACTGTAACTTAGGAGCAGTTGTAAAGGAGCAAATTTTTGAGAAGTGATTTCTTAGTAATGCTGAGTGTCACTGACATCCAAATATATTTAGAATGAGCAGGAAGTAGTAATTTTCTTTGATTCTAGGTTGATATAAAAGTGGATCCCAAAGATTTGCGTATAGATACATTCAGAGCCAGAGGAGCAGGAGGGCAACATGTTAACAAAACCGATAGTGCTGTGAGGATTGTGCATCTTCCTACAGGTAAGTCTGGCTGTACTTTGTACTTTTAATCACACTGAATCTGTATCTTGAAAAGGAAGCTTGTTATCCTGCAAGTTGTCTCTTGCAGGGCTGGGCGTTATACCAGAAAAAGAGAAGTAGCCCCTTCTGGTTCTGTCCCTCCTGTAACCAGGCAATGTGAGAAAGGGGCTGTGCACCAGGGGCACAGTGATTATGCCAGTTTTGTTTTTAGAGGGAGTGTTTCATGAATACACTGTCTTTGAAGGATGAAAGAACAAATGGAGGGTGACAGGGATGGGGTAGAAGATGTAAATAATTTACACTGTGTGCTCTGTACCTTCAGCAATAATGGCCACTGGCAAACAAGGGCATGCATAGCTTAGCTGGAATCTGTGTAGTTACATGACTGATTAAAAAGAAGGCTTGAAGATTTTAATTCAATACTAGATAATTCTAATATATGTTGGATAGAAAGGAAAATGTATATTCATGGGAAGGTACTCTATCGAGTGAACCACTGTCTTTTTTGGGATTTATTTTATTGAAACCCAACGAGCTTCTCTCTGTACAGATGCAGAATCATTTTAGGCATGGGAAATTCCAGTAGTGACCTGAAAACAGCTGTTGCCTAGATGCCTTTTTCTTTCAGAAATCAAATGAGAAGTTACACATTTCTTTTAAAGACCTTTATTTGGTTCTATCTCATTTTTCATAAATAAGTTCAAGACTCACCAGTGTTGGTTTGGCACCCCTTTCTCCTAGGATAATGAATTTTCCAGTCTTCAAGAGTTTATCTGGACTAAGATTTTAAAAACTTACATTACACTCTTTTAAACATGCTCTTGTAGACTGTTCAAATTGAATTTTTAACATATGACAGCTAATTGGAGTGAACCCAGTTTCTAGAGGCAGTGTCAGAAACTTCTTTGCTTCATGAAATTTTAAAATATCCCTGACTTTTCTGTACCACGGAACAAAGCTCCCTGGTCCATCTGTGACAAGTTTTAAAACTCACTAATGGTTCTGGCCAGTGCGTTAAAATGACTTTTTATCCTACAGCTGAAAAGCCCTACAAACCAGCACTCCAGTAGGTTTCATTTGCCTAATGTGTTAGAATTAATTCAGCTTGTTTGTTCTTTGTTATAATGGGCTCTTGGATGCCTCTGTAAAGGACTGGCAGTTGAGTGCCAGCAGGAGCGGTCGCAGCAGACGAACAAGGAGATAGCTCTGCGGACACTGAGAGCTAAGCTGTACCAGCAGGTCATTGAAAAGCAGCTCAGCCAAGAGCAGAGCGCCAGGAAGCTGCAGGTGAGGACAAGTGGTGCCTGAGATCTGCAGAGGGAGCTGTGTTGTAGATTTTTTGTTTCTGATTTCTTTGGGTGGAGGGGACAGTGCAGGTGAGAGTGTGTGTGTAACTGGGGGTGCTTACAAGGGAGGAGAATCTTGTACTTTAAAATGGTAAGTTTGCCTTTGCTTACCCCAGTTCAGTGCTATTGTAGACTTCTCAGGCAATGAAAAGAGACATCAACCATGGCTGGAAAGAAGAGTCAAAAGACTGGCTGAAATCTTTCAAAAGGGAAAATGCAACAACATGGTGTACTGAATGCCCCTGTCAAGGCCAGAGTTACACAAATTAAGAATCAGTAAAAAAAAGATACTGATGAGTGAAAACTAGGATCGGGAGTTCTCAGAAGTTTCTAAAGGAGAATATGTTAAGGCCATACAAAGCTTTTGAGAGAAGCAAATAAATAAACAATCCTGTCACTCTGCAGTTAAATAGCAGCTTATTTGATACTGTTTAGGTAACCTTTTGAGGAAGAAACAGCTTCTGGAAGAGTTACCTCAAGTTAGGCTGCGAAGTGTGCTTTTCTCTCAAAATGTCCTGTCATTCTTTTCCCATTCTTTGAGTATTTTCCCTTCTGTGGTTCAAACAGTGATCTATTGGAATAGAAATGCTTCAGAATTAGAGAATTACTCAGTACTCCAGATTTTCCAGCGCAGCTATTTAATCACTTATTTCAGGTTGCATTTAAGCATACTGTCCCTGCAGATTATTAACCCTGATCTTGTAAGCATAAATGTGAGCCATTTATCTTTTGTTATTAATTTCAGTTTGAGAGCCTTCAAAGCTGCATAAAGGATTTATATTTATATTTATATTTATATTTATATTTATATTTATATTTATATTTATATTTATATTTATATTTATATTTATATTTATATTTATATTTATATTTATATTTATATACATTTATATGACTAGTGTGAAAAATCAGGCAAAAGTAAATTACCTTTCCTAATGTTTCAGAATTTTTCATGAAATTCCATATTCTAAAATGCACATGTTGAGTCCAGATGAAATTTTCACCAAAGCCCACTGAAACAGACACACATTTATTTCTCTGAGCGTTCTTTTAGCATTTAATTATCCATTTTAGTGGGGACCACAGTGTTTAATGAAGTGTTTAATCCCAACACTGCTACATTTGGGTTCTGCTTCAAAAGTTAGAATTGCTGTTTGCACTCTCACACTTCACCACTAGAGGGTAACTTAATTTCTTAATCTGAGTCTCTTTTGGTGCTAATTTCTGACAGCCACACGTTGACTGTGCTGCTTCTGTTATTAATGGAGCCTATTTTCATTATTTTGTGTGGAAGCTACAACAACACTCCCCCAGCCCTCCCCCCAGAAAATCCCACTTGTATATTATTTGAAGTAAGGACTTTCATACTTACACGACCTCTGAGAGTTATGTGGTTCTTTCAGCTACAGAGCTGGAACAGAAATGTGCTGAAGGATATAGAAACTTGGTTTGTGATAGAGAATCACAAACAATACAGTTCAGTAATGCCACAATACTTTAAAAAATCCCGTGTGCCAAACCAGCGATCACTAGGTTGGTAGTTGGAACAGGCTGATCCATTAGGGTGTATTTTAAGTATCCTGTTCTAGAGAAGTATTGTTTTTTTTAAAAACACAACAGATTTTATTTTTTCCTGCCTTGTTGCAGTTAGGAACAAGAGCTCAGTCAGAGAGAATTCGTACTTACAACTTCACCCAGGACAGAGTCACTGACCACAGGATCTCATATGATGCACGCAATATCAAGGTAAGGGTTGTTTAAGAGAATATTTAGATACTTATGTTTACTGTTAGAAGAAAAAATAAACTTAATGAGCACAACTTAAGATAGATAGATAGATAGATAGATAGATATAGATATATATATATATATATGAAGAAAGTAGCGAGTTGTGCTCTGACAGAACACTAGATTTACAAAGCTTAAACTTTCTTTCCTGCTTTCTTGTAGTCTTAGGGATTTCTGGCACAGGCTGTAGCTCACTGGTCTACATCTCTGTGTGTTTTTCTCCTACTATATGAGAGAAAAGTGACCAAGCATGTAGTCCTCAATGAGATCCATGAGTCCTTTGGCCAAACTGAGCAAGTGACATGGGAGATTCTTGAGGCATAGTACATTCAAACCAAAGCCCTGACAGGAAGGACTTCTTATTTTTGTTAGGCCATTTTTACTCCTCCTACTGATGGAGTAAAGAACAAGAAAAACTTTTATGTTTGCATCACAGTCCACAGTTAAAAGAAACCAAAACTGAATGTTTTCATTTCAAGATTATCTGAGATCTTGTTTCTGAGTAAATATCTGCATATGGCTTGAATCTTACCGATTGTTCAGCCTGGAAAAGAGAAAGCTTTGGGGTGACCTAACTGCAGCCTTCTGGTACTCAAAGGGAGCCTACAAGAAAGAAGGAAAATTTTACAAGAGTATGTAGTGACAGGACAAGGGAGAATGGCTTCCAACTAAAATAGGGTATATTTAGATTAGATATTGGAAAAAAATTCTTTAATGTGAACATAGAGAGACACTGGAGCAGGCTGCCCAGTGAAACTCTGGGTGCCTCATCTCTGAAAGTGTTCAAAGCTGGGTTGGATGTGTCTTGAAGCAACCTGGTCTAGTGAAAAGTGTCCCTGCCCCTAGCAGTTGGAACTGGATGATCTTTCCTGTACCTTCCAACCCACGCCATTCAGTTTATTGGGGGTTTTTACAGTGGGGAAAAAAAACCTAATGGTGGATTTTTGTTGTATTAAATTTATGAAAAACAAAGTTTAGGGTGATCCCTCAATATTTTGGCTTAGGTATCCAGTTGGCTGTAAGTACTGCTGCATAAGGAGCAACACTTTCAGACTGTACCCACAGGTGTCCTGGGTAACTCTAGAGAATGCAGGGCATAGTGACTATGGAATTGTTCATAGTAACTGGAGTGCAGAATACCACAGCAGAGGAAATAGTTCCATGATTGCATAAAAGTGGCTTTTGTTAGCCAGTCAGTTGTTAGTGTTTGTATCTTACTTGAGGGAAACTGGAACCATAAACTGCCTAACAAACGTTAGTTGAGCTTTGCTTGCAAAACAGCCTCACTCTTGCCATGGACAACAGTATTGGAATGAGGTTCTTCAATCCTTCATTGTTCTTGCAGGGAATTTTCCTGCAAGTGCATGGGTTACATGAAAGCAGGGCAGTAGCTGCTTTTGTTGCTGCCAGAATCCATGTGCCTTGCAGCCTCAGCTGCTGTCCTGCTGCTGCCCACCACTGCTGCTTTCACATGGGAGGGGCCTGCAAGGATGAGCGAGTGGAGTGACTGCAGGCAAAGTCCATTTCAGGGGTTTGAGTAGTTGGTGTTTCAGAATAATGCTGAAGGACAGTCAGTAATGCTTTAATGCTTTTGTCTGCTTTTTTTTTTCCATAGGAAATTCTAAGTGGGAAAGAAGCACTGGATAAACTGATCAACAGACTGCTGGAGTTTGCAGAGATAGAGGCTGTCACCCAATATCTAGAAAATTTGCAGACCTTAGAAGGAGGAGGCTGAAGAGCTCAGGTAGAATTGAAACAGAATTGTTGTGTTTCATAGCTGAATAAAACAGATGTGTTTGTTAGATGCTATGTTGATTAAAACCTATTTTTCTGTTTTTCAGTGTGTAATACTATTCTTTTTGTATCTTGGTGCAAAGTGGGTTGAATTTATTGCAGCAGCTCTGGCAGAAAAGCATCAGCTTGGAGTTCTGTGTGCACACTGCTTTTGTCTTGGCAGCACGGCTTTGTTAAGCTGGTCCCTCTCTTGACAGTATCACTACTGGAAAGGCACAGAATTGTGGTGGTGGAGCAGAATAAATACCACATAGTGTGCTTTTTGTTTGGTGGTGGGAGATGTTCCTCTCCAGGTAAAAGAAACTGAGCTCCCCTAGTGTAGTCTAGAACCTGGTCTCCTGAATACTATTTTTTTTTCACTTATTGTGTGAGCTTCCTAAATCAAATCCCTTGGAAATAACTTTGTATTATGATACTGTATTTTTTAGAGTAAATATACAAAAGCAAAGCGAGTGAAGGAGCCAGGATGTTAAAAGAGAAGCCTGTTAAATTTCTTCCAGGCACTCTTGGGTCAGCTTGTGGTGGACTGGCCCATGTACTGCAATGACATGTAGAAGTTCGTGCTCTAGTTTTCAACTAAGTGTATGAGGTAACAGGCAGCTCCCTGCCTCCTGGCAGAGGAAATGAGTTCATACTGCAGATGCCTTTCAGCAAACCAGGTAGCTCTGGAATTCAGCTCCTGTCTTTGGGAATGTCTGCCTTTGCCTGTCCTTGAGGGGATTCAGATGCCTGCGGGGCACAGTTGGCTTTGACAGGACTCTGCACACGTGCAGTGCTGGCAGGCACTGAGCACAGGCAGGCACTGGTCCTAGGCCTGACTCGGGAGTGCTCTGCACTCAGGGCGACACAAAGATTGGGTCTCTGCTCTGCTGGGTTCACTTGCCACATCATGGCATCTTCTTTTCATCCTGCTTGTCCCAGGTTCTGCTGTAAAGCTGCTCTGCACTGTCTTCTGCACAGGACGAGCCAGTTCATTGTTATAATTTAAATTATGCCTTGTGGTTGATTTATATTTGTGTATTTTGTAATCAGGAACGATGCAGTGTGAGGAAATGTTCATCTAAAAGGGTGCAGTTAGGGTATATATACACGGTATATATAGCAACAATTGTAACATTATTCAGCTATATTAAGAAAGATAGAATTTGTAACAGGAAGAGAGCAGGAAAATTATACTGGTTCCTCCATTCTGCAATTATTTTTCCATTCTTTTGTGTGTTCTTATCAGCAAGCTTTGTCTGACAATTTCTCTCTTGCTTCCAACAATTTAATTACAAAGCTTTGGGGCTTCAGTTGGGTCGGTTGTTTTGTTTTTTTTTTAATTGGTAGCTCTGCAAATCAATCAGGAAATTTATTACCATGCAATTCAGGATTCATTTGGACTTTGACTTCTTTCAGTAAGCAGTCCAGAAAGAAGAACCCTCCAGAAAGATCTGTAATTGAGCTTATACTTCTTACAGTGCCAACAGACTGGCAATAACTATTATGATCAACTGTAATAGGAGAATATCCAGCTAACATGGTTATCCACTTATCAGTCTCACTTTCATTATGCAATTAAGTGCACCAATTAGTTTTATTAATTATATCTCTCAAACATTTCTAAGTTTCTTTTAGAAACTTCTTAAAAAAAAATTAAATAATAAGATTCAATTTCCAGGATCAGTTAGTGTCTATGAAGTTCTTTACTATGAAAAATGATTGAAACACTTAAAAATATGAGCCTTATTTATTTTACTGGAAGAAAGAGAGTGATATTTCTGCAGGACCTTATGAATATTTGTGACTGATTAATTTTCTGTAGCCCTTTTTTGTTGATGGTTTTGTGCAGAGTGATGAGAAGAGGGAAAGCAGGAAGCAGCTCCCCTCTTTACTAAGTTTTGGATGTCTCAAATGTAGGTATTGAAATTTAGAAGTTGAACCCAGGAGATCCTGAAGGGTCTTTGTCCTAAGCTTTTCCTGCAATTGCATATACATGTGTACATGAGCAAAATATGGCTATGGCAGTTTGGGATAGAGAGGAAACACTTCTACTGGAGGCCACTGCCTGCAGTGCCCTGCTTTACTAAAACCAGATGTATGTGATTCTCCTCACTGAGAACACGTTACTTGAAACTGTTTGCTCCAAACCTAAGAAATACTTCTGGCCATGTTTTATTCTAAGCTCTTTCATCCCAGCCTTTCTGTGGGATCTAAGAGCTGAGAGATTGTGTTTAACCATGGCTTGACACCTGTCCTCAAGGAAGGGATGTGCAGGATAACACTGGTATTTCTGAGGTGTTTTCAGGATGGATAATTTCAACTTGGGCTTTTTGGTTCCTACAAGCAATCAGGACTTTCAGCAGCAAAATCAATAGCAGGAAAAATTACTGTAACAAAATACAGGGAAGAAAAGGGAAAACAGTTTCTTGGGGAGAAACAAACAGCTCCTGGAGACAGCAAAACAGAGCAAGAGGATGTTCCTCTGCAGCCTCCTCCTGCAGCATTCCTTGTCAAATTGTGTTACAACAAACAAACTGCCATCCCTCCACCTGGCTTCCCCTCAGCACCGTCTGGGGACCTTACCCATGCACGTCACGTCACAGCTCGGGCAAGGCACCAACTTCACCGCTCTGCAGACCCTGCTGATTCATAGGAAACATAGTTCCTGGATCTCTTTCATTTCTCTGCTGAGGTCTCATGCAGCAGCGTCTCACCCAGCCAGCAGGGAAGCCAGACAAAAGCTGTGTGTGCCTGGAAGCAGCAGCCATTCCATGGCAGTGGAGAGATGGATGCTTAGCCTCTGCAGAAGGAGGGCAGCCCAGGTGCCTTGCCTCGATTGCTTTCATTGACTCATCGAGCCTGTGTCTGACTCTCAGAGCACTGCTCTTTGTTCCTAAGGCCAACAGATATGTAATACTGAATCACAGTCAGTCATAATCAAAAAGGTCATATATTCAGCTTCATTTTGAATGTTACTAACAGTGACTGCAACTCAGTTAAAAAATTTTAAATAAAAAATTTAAAACAGGGTTTTTATTACTCATAGCTGATGCACAGAATAAACCAATTTCCAGTTACTGCTTAAGGTGCTACAGGAAGGCACACAGACATTTTGTTGGTAGCCACAAAATAAAATATTTATTATTTATTTTTTAAATTTATTTATTTTTATGAAGCATTTCCATATTTACAGACCTATTTTAGTTTATATTTACCCCAGGGCCCATTTTGAACAGAATCTGCACCCCTAAATCTCCCAGATCGCCCTAAACTCCCTGAATGGATGCATGATGGTAATGCAGATTGTTCAAAGGAAAGCTTTATTCAGTATTTTCATATAAATTCCACTTCAAGAGCCTGCAATATTTTGTAATTGGAACTGAGAAGAGAAACCAGCTGTTACTTTGCAGACATTACTTATAAACTAAAACAAACGCTTTTCAATCATCCCAAGCAAGTTATTAAAATCCACTGTCTCCAGCTCATGGTCTGTAAAACATTGTCTGCTGGTTTTTAACATAGGCTATTTATGGTTTTACAGGTAAAATCAAATCTGCTTTTGAGAATCCTGGGAATTCCCCAAATTCTCCAGGAATCTCTGAAATCTGACTCCGGGAATCATCTTGGGCAAATTTAACTTTTTGAGATGATAATTTGCAAGACTTTTTGCTTTGTACAGAAACTTTTATTCAAGTTCTATCCTGAAACATTTCACAAAGCTAAACCTGTTAATCACACAAATGGTTAACACAAATTCTAAGTTAAATAATTTAGATAGAAGAGAGACTGAAGAGATCTGGCTGACAGAACAGAACCCAAGGGTTGCCACAACTGACAGAAGGAGGTATAGAGACAGCTTTTGTACCAACAAGCAGAAGGCTCTAAGGGCTGCAAACCCTGTACAAGGAATGGAATGGAATGGAATCTGTCCTGGGAAAAGTAATAATCAAGGAAATCAAAAGAGCACATATAGTCAGGTCTCGGAACAGCTTGTGTATTGTTGGAAAACAGACAGGGTTCTTCGGGGCACAGTGCAAACAGGCAGCAGAAGTGCTCGTGGGAGCTGGGACCTGGACAGACGGTGCCTACAGAAGAGCTCAAAGGTTTCTGGAAATCTCAGCAGAGCAGGGGAGAAGGAGGACACCAGAAACACGGCACAGCAGTGATTTGCATATCTGAGAATACCGGGGGAAGACAGTGATAATAAAAAAGTACTAAAAAAAGTTTTGACACAACTCAAAAAACAAATCAAAGAAACCAAGCAGCATGAAATTGTTTTTTACTCCCTTTCTGAGATGCCAAAATTTGCACTGAAATAAAATTTCTTTCAGGGAAGAAAAATGAAAAAGGAGGAATGTTTTTATATATGCCCAGGTTAGTGAATTTAACGCAGATCCATGTCATGACCAGCCCTCCCACTTCTAAAACTGAATATTAGAACTGGATGATGCTGCAGGCCCAGATTTTATCTATGAGGGTCAAATAAAACTTTACCCTATTAGGAAAGTGTGGATTTCAACCTACAAATCCCCAGGTGAAACATTAAAATGTATTTTAGCCTAAATAGGAACAAGGATTATTCTATATCATGGGTAAAATTGAGCAGTCTCTGCACAACTCCTGGCATAGCAAATGCCCAACAACAAAATTTTTCTTTTTTCTGTATATGCGATACATTTGCTTCTAAAACCATCACCAACTTTAGGCAGGCCCTGCTGTAAAAATATACACAAGGTCTTATGCTGTGAAGCTGCCTTTCTAAGCAGACAAGGTTGGTGGAAACATGAGGCAAGGAAAGAAAAATACAGAGCAGGGAACTGACTGGCTCGAAACCACACAGAAGAAATCACCATCAGAAATTGCAATTTGACTCCCCTCTGCTCTCTGGCTCTCCCCATAATGCTCATAATGTCTATGACATCATATAAAACAAAGGGTGCAGTCCTCAATCAAGGAGCTTGCAATAAAAACAGGCAAACAGATAAAACCACTCTGATAGAAAATAGATCAGCCAGAAAAGGGAGCGCTTGGCTGAAACAGTAAAAGGAACATTCCTCTGTCAAAAGCCAGTGCAGCCCAAAGAAGGGTTAGCAAATGAGGAGTGTAACTAGCAATACCTAGAGGGTTCCTACAGCAAATTCCAAAAGCAGAAGAGTTTGCAGGGAGATAGGACAGAAGGGAGGAAGATCTGTGCAAAACAGATGTCTTGGAAAAGCAACGTCTGCCTTAAATCTCACACAAGACAGCATTTTTGTGTAGAGCAGAAAATGTTTTAGATACACAGGATCAGGTAAGGAAATTGAATGACAGCATGGTGAAAAATTAAACAATTGTTTAGGATATATTAAAATTCATTCAACTGGCCCTTTTTATAACTTACACATGAGAGCAAAGAATAAACGGGTCTCTGACGTTAAGACATAGTAGAGAGCAAAGTGCTGTATTTCTTTGTGAAATGCAGGCTTTAGAAGTCACATCAGCTAAAACCACATGTATGGTATTTAAACTGACTTTATTAGCTACGAGCAAAGAAAACTTTTAATCTTCTTTCCTAATGTTCTGGTTTGCCTATTTAACACAATACAAAGACCTTTGGTTCATATTGCAACTAACAGCAGCTCCACAAAGAAACAAGTTCTGAACACTCATATTCAGATGTCTTTAAACATCTGCTCAAGAGATTTAGTTACAGGTATCTTAAATTGCTGCCTGTGACCACTTCAAAGTAACAAAACATTTTAAAGAAAGGATGCTAGTATTTTGGGAATGTCAGTAAAAAAGGAAAGCTATCTTCCTCAGAGGATATTAAAAGTGGAGCATAGAAGAAAACCCTATACTATACTATTCAATAAAACTGTACTAACAAACAAAAACAACTTTTCAGAAATCATAATTAAATGCATATACATTAGGCTTTCAGTAACAGAAGGAGAATGAGTACAGCAGTACAAAAAAAAGTCTGAGAAAAAAAAGAATTGTGCTTGAAAGGAAAGCATGACCAGCTGGTAACTCAGCAGCTGGCAAAAGCAAAGGAGCAGAGAGAATCAGATGTAGTGGTAAGTCACTGGTAAGGGTGGCAGACAGCATGTGGGGTCATGTAAAAAGCAAATGAGGTTTAGGGATGTATCAAGAGTTAATTCCAATATACTAAAGAAGTATTGGTGACCTTATGCGTGGCCTTAATTGAGGTGAACTAGTCCAAGGAAATCCATCTAGGCAAGTGTAGTAGTCCAGGCACACTCAGGCTGGAATGCATGAAGAGAAGCACTGATGGGACACTGAAGATCCTGTCACACAAGGACGCTGTTTGTGATTTCAAAGAGAGATGTGATGGATTCAAGATGAAGGAAAGCTACTTAACTCAAGGGCAGGACTTGTATAAATTGGAAGAGCAAGCTGGCCACAAACACAAGGAAACTAGAGCAGGCTCCCAGAGTAATGTTCAAGTAAGAACAAACCCTAAAAAATCTGATTAAGAAACCCTCTCCTGTACATGTTGGAGTACATGTTGTACATTCCTGCATCTCAGACTTTGAAGCATCTTGCATGTGTCCTGCATCTCTAAATGATAATCCAGGGTCAGATATTACAGTAAACTTCCAAATTTATCAGAACAAACATCATACAAAATACGCCAACCCTAAGGAAGCCAAGAAAACACATGGAATTAAATACAATAATTAATTCTCTTCTAAACATACAATAAAAGTCACAGAATAGAAAAGAACTTCTACTACTTCTAGTACACAATAAACCAGATTACCTGTTTTAAACTCCTTTCTCAATTGAGCCAACAGATTAATAGTTGTTTTCTCAAAGAAATTCAAGCTCAGCAGTTACCAACTCTATTTTGCTGGACTATTGACAACTGCCTTAGCTGTATTCCTTTTTATTTTTTTTTTCAACTGAGACTCTCCTGAACAAAACACCCTGAGCTTTAAGAATAGAGACATAGTTTTTAACAGATTAATTATCTGGACCTTTACGGTTCACTGTTTGATGGCTAGAGAAGCAATGAGTGCAGCTATATTCTGACACAGAAAACAAATCCTGGTGATGCTAAATGCAGATCAATCCCACCAGTTAAAGTAATCATATTAACAATCCTTAAGTGTCCAAGTCATCTTGGACTCTACAGCCATCAGCTCTGCTGATCTTCTGGTTTCTTTCCCTATGGTACTGAGAATGACAAACCTTCAACACACTTAGGCCCTCTCAGCTTATCAAGCACTGCAACTATAAAACACACACCTCTTATCAACAGAGAAAACACAATCACCTCAAAAATGGTCCTGTATTCTGTACCAGGGCCACGTCTCTAGAGTATTTTTTTCATTAAAGTATCAGGCAAGTGTTTTTTTGCTAGGAAAGACACAAAAAGAAAGCAAGACTAAAAAAGAAAACTTGATAAGTAAAAGTAGACAACAATAAAGCAGGAGACAGGGAGACATCACAGAAATACCTACTCAAACAGCGGTGGCTCTGGTGCTGTTACTACAAGTTAGGATTCATCAGGGTTAAATCTTCTGCAGAGGTTTAATACATTTACCATGCACATACACAAATAATTTTTCAGAACATCATTTGGAATTGGTGGCACTGATGTGACTAACTCTTCTAAAAACAGCTTCCAAATGATCAGTTTGAAATGTTGGCAGTCTCACCACCCACTCTTTTGCGAGCAATCAGACGAAGGTTAGTAAGCACAATATTTTACTCATTAGTGGAGAAACTACACCACATAAACAATCTTGGGGGATGATTTTACTCTCTAGTATATTCTATTGATCCAGTTCCTCTACGAAAATAAAAGGTCTGCTTCATTTTTGTCAGATTAAGGATTACTACATTCTCACATACTTAGAAAAGGAGTAAAAAACCTTTTGAAATGTATTTAAAACAGCATACACAGAGCAAATAGAACTTGGATGGCATGGTTAAAATAAAGAATACGGGTATTTACAATATTACAAACTTCCACTCCAAAACCAATCACACCAAAATAAAATAAAAAAATATTAAACTCACATATGTTTTAATACCTATAAATCCTTAACTTCTATCCAACATTTTCTTTATAAAAGCCCATTTAAAATATTAAACTTTTGATTCACTCTAGCTTAAGCAGAATCTAAAATAATTTGTTAAGTATTACTGATCACTCATTCTTTGTCTTAAGTTTCTAGATTTTCCATTTTCAAATTTTCTCTTCTTAAACGTTGGCACCCCTTCTGTCAGGTCTCCAAGGGAGGTGACTGTCTTCTCTTTAAATACGACTGTGTCCTCTTCTGGATCCTCTAGCACTGGGGGTGCTACATTGTCACTCTCTGTACTTGGAAGCTCCAGGTCCACTTTTTCACTGGGAGAGGAGAGGAAAATGTAAAAGGATTAATGTAAAGAAGAAAGCAACATGGTGCACTGCAGACAGCAACAGCTATTTTTATTTGACAAAACAGCTTTGAGCTAGATGCAGTCTTTAGTCATCATCATGACAGGCATCAAGAAAAAACCCATGTTCTTTGTTTCTTCTGTGTGGGCTGCCATAAAAAGTAACAAACTAACACATTCTGTTCAGAACTCATAGCATGGCCCAAGCACTCATCGTGTCAACAGTCCTGCAGGAGATAACAGGGCTGTGTGTCTGTAAATTTAAGAATATTGAAAGACAGTGGACAGTAAGTAGCAGCAGTGGTTCACTGCCAGAACACCATTGAGTTGTTTTCCTCAAGTGTCTGTCCTGAAGGGACTGCACAGCAGAAGAGAAACCCACCTTACCAAATCAGACAGTGACCCTAAGCTGGGACAGATGGCTTTGGAGGGTGGGATCACAGCCAATACTGATCTAAACAAATCAAAGACAACAACTAAAAATGACCTATCAGTTTTAGGGGGTCAGCAGCAAAAAACACTGTGTTCCACAAGGGTCACCTCTGGCACAAACAGAGAATGGAGAAGAACTGAAGAGCTGGCAGAAAGTTTCCTAAATCACAGGTATCTCACCAGCACACTGCTGCAGAGATACTGGCCAAGCCACACAAGAACACTTTCGCTACTACTGTATGTTAGTCTGATGTCAGCTCATGTACTACACCCAGTCTGAGGTTCCGTGCTTCAAGGAAGACATGGATCTGCTCAAGCACCCAAACAGGAGTTACAAAGCCTGATGGCAAGTCAAGAAAATGCAGTTGTTGCAGTATCCCAAAAATGTAAATTTCCTGGAAGTGGGTGTCACTGTGCCTACACTGAATTTAAAGTAAACGATGAACAACTGCATTTATCTAATTGACACGTGTGTTCATCTCAAGCCTGTCTGTTAAAGTATGGACTGATCTACAGGTTCAGTGGCTGAAAGCACCTTTTACGACACAGTACTTTCCAAAAACCCAAAAGAATTTTTCAGCTCAGGAGTCAAGGAGCAGTTTAGCCGGTCCAGTTCAGGAAGTGTTACGTGAACATTATCATCTCCAAGGAGTGCATAATTTAGTATGAACACTGTCAGAGGTCTAGCTGCTCAATAATGCTGGAGAATGGAATAAGCACAAGGAAGAAGACTTTTCATTCTCCAAAACCCACTTTCATCAGACTCCTTGAGGGACCCACAAGAAGCTGACAATAAAAAAAAATACAAGGAAAAACAAAAAAAGATGCACCACAGGCATTATGCAGAAAAACGAAGCAACCCTTCTGATCAGATGCACTTCATGAAAGCATCTGCAGTTCATTGGTCTGACATGGGGGAGAGAGAGATCAGGAACTCTTGGGGCAGCTGAATCAGACTGTTGAAGGAGATAATGTTAAGGAACATAAGCTTTGAGTAAGAGCATTTAAATATTTGATACTCAGCCTCTGAAAAAACAGTGCATGACTATGATTCTTAAATCACTTCAATTTACTTTGTACTCATGGTGAATTTCTACACAAAACCCACAACACCATCTCTATCTGCAATGGAGAGCTATTAAAATAACCATTGTGAAAAGAACTGTATTTGGGAAACATTTCCCATCACAGTTGTGCTAATTCTGCCAAAATTCAGAGGAAAAAGCTTCACTTCTTGCAAACAACATTATGAAAATAAGGACAGCAAAAAGATACTTACCCTCCTTCTTCTTCTTGTTCTTCCCCTACTTCCTTAAGTGCTTTCCATTTTCCATAAGGGTTGGTCTTGTTAGATCCATCACTAGAGGTTTCTTGGGAAGCTGATGTACTCTCCTCTTTATCCACGGTTTCTTCTGACTTAACTTCTCGCCATTTCCCATAAGGGCTTAACTTTTTAGCTTTAGGAGATTTTTTCCCTTCCTCTGATTCTTCACCATTATCTCCTTTCCTCTAAAGAGGAAAAAACCCATCTTAAGCAAAAAAGCCTAAATAAAAACATAATGTAGCTTTATTTTACATCTTTTATTTGCTATTATTATCTACTTATTATCTACCAGTCATGCTTTTCAACCAAGAGTAACTTGAAACAATAAATTCATATAATCCACAAATTTTTCTTCTTGAGCTTTACAGATGAAAAAAAAATAAATCTTAACTGTTACAAGAAATAAAAGCAGGAGAATCCCATCTACCAAGGCTGAAGTTAACAAACTTACAAACTCGCTTGAAGAAAAGGTTAGCATATCTTAAAATAAAGAGGGAAAATTTCACATGCAACTTTCCCTACATGCAGATGCACACACTTATTGCTAATACCTGGTAGCAGTTTATAATGGCGCACAGTGATACAAAAATACGTGTTTTACAATTAATACCTGTCTAGGAAAACATTTTGTATTTAAACTGTCTGACTGTTCTGATATGCTGGCTCCAGGGAAACCATCTAACCCAGACAGAGACATTACCATACCCTTTACCTCAAGTTTTAAATTTATGTTTTAAATATATAATTGATACAGATTTTGTACTATGTGCTATGTTTTTTCACAATTTAATAAGGAAACTACAACCATGCCATTTTCAGTCCAAAGCATTCCCTGAAGGTCTACTGGCCGTCACATTTACCAATGAAAGGTTGAAGTCATCCTCACACTGAAATCCAAACCATTTTGTGGATTATTTCAGAGAGATGACAGTGACCTTTCTCAGAGAACATCACATGTCTTGTAGAATTCAAGGTACTTCTGGGTGTGCTGAAGGAAAGATTGTGCTTTCTATTCTGGAACAGTGCCACTAATGAGCCAAATAATTGAATAAAGATTCATTTTATTAATAATTGCAAAATTTTATTTTCAGTCACACGTATTAATCTCATTTCAGTAAGTACAGCCACAAAACATAAAATACTCAGTTACAATTTTTTAGTGTAAGATCATGTATGTAAAATAAATCTGAAGAAAATTTACCTTGAAGTTTGTTTCTGAACTCTCTACTTCATTCTCACTATCTTCTGAGTCTGATTCAGATGCTGTTTCTTCAGGCTTGTCACGCTGACCCTTCTCATTTGAAGATGAAACAAAACCATCTGGTTTCTCCCATGTGGATACTGTCCAAGACATTTGAACAACCACATTATTTATGCTTCTCATTTTGATCTGTTATTGCTTCAACAATATAACCTTTCAGAAGCAGCACTGTCTTATGCAAAAGTACAGCAAATAATTTAGCAAAAAGCTTTTGCCTTTGTTTGGTACATTTGTTTTAATAACCATAATCAGAAAGATAACATTTCTTCCCAGCAGAGACACAGTCAGGACAGCTGAGTTCACTGTTGATAAAGCTTGTTTTAATTAACTCTTACAAAAAACATCACACACGGCAAACTGTGACCCACAAAACTGTGGTCCCTCTCATCCTTACACATGACAAACAAATTAACTAATTGCCCTGTAGATGTGCCTATTTGATGTGAGCTGTTCATTGATTATACAGACAGGATAAAACAAAGAACGATAACTGCAAGCTGCAGGTCTCCAGGCAGCTAAACCCTTTTCTAGTGCTACTCTTCTTAGTAACATCAGGTCTCTAATTAAAAGAGCTCTCAAGCAAACAAGGAAATACAAACATCAATCTGGATGGAAGTACATACAGGATATGTACATATATCCTCATTTTCAATTTAAAAGTAGTATTCCAGTAAATATACTGGGAAGAAATATTCAAATAAAAGTTGACTCAATGGTCTTAAAACTGGTTTTAGTAAGAATAAGGCAAAAGTACACCAATTTTCAGTCTATAATTTTATATAAGCTTTCAGATGTAAAAAAAACTATTGTTTTTCCTAACTGCAAACAACACATGTAAGTGCCTAAATGTACCTTGAAGAAATAAAGATGTAAGAAACTGGCCATGAATAACTCTGCATGAACAGTGCAGTCTCTTAAGGGTACTGCTGTCACCTGACTTCAGATTAGTGACTGAGCAATTCCACTTTCCCTGGTGCCGTATAAAGAGTGAAATCAGTGCAGCCTCCCAGACTTGTAGCACCAAACCAGGAGCCATCAGTCCCCTAAGTTACATGTCTGACATGAGACACAACTATTCATATCAGTTAGAAATTTGTCTTGTCATCAGAGGATGGGATTACTGTTAACAGAACAGAAAAGTAATTTTCAAGCACCCCCAAGACACTTACAGCTATATAAAAGTGAGATACCAATTTGAAATCTCAAAAGCCAAAATTCTGCCAAATGTGATTAGAAACACACTTTTCACAAGTGTCGTATGTCCATGAAGTACTTAAAAAACCAGCAAACGTAGGCATAAAATGTATCTGAACTTGGAAGGCAACATTTAAAAACAACCAACACCTCCTTTCCCTTTCAGAAGAAATTGCAAATCACTTGGGCAGGGGAGCAGCTCAGTGAAAAACCGAAAGGTTTTGGATTGGTTTTCTTGGTTTGTTGTTTGTTTTTTTTTTGTCCCCCCTATTCTTGGCATCATTAGCAATGCCACTTCATACCCCACTGCAGAAGGAAAACTCATAGCCAGCATAAAAACCACTTGCTCTCCAGAGAGGCATCATTGACCTTAAAATGTTTCAAATAGATTTAGAAAACAGATGCTATTCTGAGGGAGTTACCACAAAGTTCCCCATGTAGGGAAAGAAAAGTGGAAAATAAGTAGGAGGTAAGATTCTGGACTTTCTTATCAATGCTATGTCAGCAAGAGGAAAAGTTTAGGAGATTCTTCATCAGTTCTACATGCCTGTCAACACAAAATCCTGCCCCCTTCTAGTTTCCAAACTGAAATTTCAATATATGTGTAGTAAACATGAATGCCTAATTTAGAATTACAAGTTGAATGTCCAAAACCACCTCTGAAGCAAAAATGTATGCACACTGACAATGCAGCCTAAAAGCCAGTGCTGACTTAAGTAACTATTTCATTTCAACTAAGAAAGCAGCTTAAAAAATACAAAACTTACTAAAAAATGCAGTTATTTGCAAAACAAAAAACTTTTCTGAAAACCCTCTCTCCTGAAACAGAGCTTAACTGGAAAGAAAGTTCTTCTTACCTCCAGTTTGTGTGTTATAGTAATAGGTATGACCATCTTCAGTGACACCTTCCACCCACTCTGCTCCCTAGGAAAAACATACAGGAGTTCATGAAAAAAAGTTTTCAGGATCAGCCAAGGCATCATTTTTAAGTCTATTCAATCCCTGAATACTTTTTTGTCTGTGATCACCTTACTGGTTTAAAGCTTGAACCCCTAACATTGTTAGAAAGTATTCCCCTTGACTTTAATGAGATGGAATTCCATAACTTAAAATACTGCAAATGCACCTACACAATTATTTCTCAAACAGTGGATAATTAGTATGAGGCTGTATAATAATGCCATACTGTTTCAATTTTTATATAGGACATTATCTTACATGTTTGGGTTTTCTCAAAATACTCATCCCTGAGACTGTAATTTCCTGTTTGTGTAATTGTCTTTAGTGAAGACTGCTGAAAAAATTCTCTGGGAGACTTAGGTCTCTGTGAGGGCTACAGAAAACTAGTACAAATTAATTTTATCATAAATTAAATATACACAAACAAATAAAAATTTATCCCAAAATACAACATTACAACAAATAATTATAGAATCAAACTTTGCTTGCCAACAATTTTACTTCTTTACTAAAGCACCAATTTCAACAATGCACTCTTTTTCCCCACTGATTAATAAATAAACATGAAATGTGGCCAAACTTGCTGGTATTTCTTTGTGGATATGTAATTTATTTATCTTTTTTTTCAGAATCAGCTACAGCTATATAATCAGTCATTACCCATGCCCTAACATCTTCCTTAGGAAACCAGTTTTCATCCCATCTTAAACACACAAGTACAAGGAACAGTCCTTAAATACCAATACTGCCAGCTCTGTGTTGGGCAACTTCACCATACATTATTTTGGTATTCATGTGTGTGTATATATACAGAGATATACAGACAGGCTTTTGGACACCTATACATTTGCTTAATACTCTTATTAAAAGATTGGGATTTTAAAATAAAAACACAATACAATCAGAAGTTAAAGTTCCTGCACCCACTGTGTAAACACAAAAAAATTGTACTGGTAGGTTCAGAGCAGGCAAAGGCATGAAAGCCTTCAGGATCACATTTTCTCAAGGTTTCACCCTCAGAAGTTTCAGTGTGCTGGTTTTTGACAAAAGAAGCAAAAGGAAAGTTCATTTTAAGTATATAAAAAAAAAGTCTTAAGTAAAACCCTTCCTTTTTTTTTTTTAAGAATTAGATCCTGAGCATTTGTAGACCTGTTGGTTAGAGGTTTTCAGCCAATATCTGACACTAGGCACATTAAGTGTCCCATAACATAAATGCTAAGAAGCATACTGTCAGTCTAACTGGTTACAAGCAGCCTTCAACAGGCCCCTTTATTGCCCTGTTCTCCCCACCTCTTACCAAGTCTGAGCAAAACCTAATGCGCTGTAAAATCAGGAGGGCTCCTGGCATGACATATTGCAAGCATGCCCTTTAATTTCTGGGCAGTGAATCCTTGTTAGAGATCTGGAATGTTCCCAATATCCTTAGCTCAGACTAAATAAGGGAGCAATCAAATGCTTGTTTTTTGCCATAGTGAAAATAAGACAGGACACTGAGCAGGGTGAGGGAGAAATGGCAAAATACAGCTGTGTTGTTAGAGATACTGGGGTCTGAAGGTGTGTGCTTCTGATATGGCTAGGATGAACTAACTTCAAATTGTTGCCAAGAAGGGAGTGCCTTCTCCCCCAATCTGCTCTCCCCACATTGGCATTTTTTCCTGGTTATTCACAAGGCTGATAGCAAGGAAGTAAGCCACCAAAACACTAACCTAAACTCTGATGCCTCTGCTGCTTGAACTAGTTCACTGTCAGGGTAAGTATGTACCAAGGACCATACGAGATTAATTTCAGGACCACATATTTCAGTGGAAGGCTACAGTAAGACTGACTTATTGCAACTCTATGCCTTGACTGGAAAGATAAAGTTGAAGTGCTGATTAACAAGTTGTGCAAACCCACAGGACAAGGGAATCAGAAAGCCAGAGTAGCATGTGATGTGATGATACAGAGCTACAGAACGTCAAGCATTCCGAATGTCCAAAAACAACAGTTTTTTTTGAACTCTAGTGTAAAATCCAACATTGGCAAACTCAACAAAACTGACAACAAATTGAAATGTGTATATGACACCTATCTTGAAAACAGGGAAATGTAACTTCACAGGAGCATTGGAAAAATCCTGTTTTTAATGCTGTGAGGCACAAAAATCCTGGAGTGATAAGTATCATGGGAAAACTCATTAATCATAGTAAGAAATTTTTCTGCCTTTTGATTATTCTGCAAGTTTTTCTGTGCCTCAAAAAAGGGAAATTAAGAAATGTACTAAATTACTAATATTACTGAGTAATTACTTGCATATAGGTTCCATGATCATAGGAAACCCAGTAAAATTTATTATGTAACTGTACTGTAAGCAAACACAAAATAAGGACATTCTTTTTTTTGTCAACTATGTGACAATGCAGTCTCAGTGTTGCCTTAGATAAAGGAAGCTTAACTATCTCAACTGTGTAATATTTTGTTTTTATAATTACATTTAATTTAAAAAAGTTTTAACAGAATTTATTTAGAATTTCCCTAAAGCTTTTAATTTTATGGGTCGAAGCACCAAAGAAGTATATTCTGCAGGAACCCAACCACCTCTTCCCTTTTTTACTAATTACTTCTCTTCCCTTGACAGACAAATTAGCCAAATAGGACTTCTAAGTAAAAATGCAATTTATCATAAAAGACTCTACATATTCAAATTCTATTTTCCTAAGTTTATGAAGGGAAAAAAAATCGTCTTCCTCAATCAGACAACTTGCAAATTGCTTAGATTATTTAAGTGTTTACAAAGATAAAGAAAAACATGAATAATTTGATTACCGTTGGTGAATTTTGAGAGTTGCCTTGGAATCCTTTAGGTTTCTCCCACTGTGATTCTTAAAAAACAAAAGCATATTTCAACCATTTCACATCATTCAATTTGGTTTATTTTTTATAATCTTTACTAAAAATAGATCTAAAGGATATGACACTGCTGGGTGCATACATATAAACAAATTATATATATATATATATATACACATGATGCTGGAATATGAATAATTCTTGACCAATCTATGGTATGAAAAATAAACCAAAGTATCATAATTACAGCTGGCTTTACTGGAGCTGAAAACCCTCCAGACTCTATTACTATGCCTGATACAGAAATACACGACTTTTGGTTTTAAAAAAGCCCCAAAAATTATGGAATTATGAAAGACAACAGCAAATAATATCATTAATCCTTAAATTCATAAGAAATAGTTTGCAACATTCTAATTAATCATAAATGAGGGTTGCTTTTATGTTCTAAAGTAAATCACAACTGCAGCTCCTCAAGAGAAGTCAGTTAGATAAATCCTGTAAATGTGGAAAGATACAATAAGTTTATTTCATATCCCTGATCACAAAGCTTCTTCGGGAAGAATACGGTTATCTTTGTGTACTAATCCCTGACAGGCTAAACATTTCCAGAAACTGTGGAATTACTGCATTCTTCCATTATTAATCAACAGCAAAACCAGTCTGAAATTCTGGATACCCAAGTCTCAAATGTTAAATACTGAAACTCCATCTGAGTGGTCACATTTTAATTAACAGCATAATACTGAAAGAGCAGAGAAGTAAAAAAATGCAGGTAGACTTTTCTCACTTAGATTCAATAATTATATCTGCACTTGCTCCTCAGTAGTTTTACCTCCAGTTTTTGTGTTGTAGTAGTATGTATAGCCTTCAGGAGATAACCCTTGCACCCACTCCTTCGTTTCAATCTTTGGTGGCATTGAGGCATCCTGAGGTGTCTTTTTTTTCTTTTCTTTCTTTTCCTTCTTCTCTTTCTTTTCTTTCTTTCCTTTAGTTTCCACTGTGTTACTCTGTATTTTACTCTGTGTTGAACTGGAACCTACATCTTCTTAGAGAAAATAATATCCTTTAAAAAGAATGTACTATTCTGAACTTAAAATATTAGTCACTCTTGCACAACAAAGAATAGGAAACAGAAAACAGGAAACTTTGTTCTAAGGAGTATTTTTACTAATGAGTGAAAAACATTAGTGCTATACTCATAGCAGGTGCATTTAAAAGACTATATTGAAAGTATCTTGCTTTGTACCAGTACTATAGCATCAGAACAATGTCCAAATTTAAAAAGATCAGTAGAGAGAAAAATCGTAAGGGCCAATGAGTTCTAACTAAACAACAAAAGAGAAACTAAAAGAGTTACAAAAAAGACAGCTGCTACAGGAGCCTGAAACTACAAACTTGTTTTTAAAGGACAATATGCCTCCAACGTACAGAACAAAGGTACTTGCTGAGCTGCAAGCTGACTAGGAGATTCTCATCTCCACTGTTTCACACCAGTGGGAACGCAGTTCTTCCTACTCATGGGAACTTTTGCCTCCAACTGGCAAAAGTGAAACATAAAATTAATCAAAGGAAGCTGCACTGCTGATTCAAAGCACCACCTACAGCCTAACTTTCTGTTAAAGCATTGTTTAATTTTTCTACTCCAAATTTGACTGTTCCATGGATCAGGGGATACCACAGCTATAAATACTCTGCACTGCAACTTCTAGTACTGGCAATTTGCAGACTCCAATTTTTTTTAAAAAATGAGCAACAGTCCTGGAGGCCTCCTCTCTCACTGCTAAACCTAATTTAAGACAACACTTTCCTATTCAATATTCTTTCAATTCTGTCTTTAATCTTCTGGCAGTTATATGAACTACCTGGCTTAATTCCAAGCCTTTTCATATCCTCTTGATATGCTTTCATTGCAGCCTCCTCCATTGCTGCAAATTCTTTTGACATATTTTCTTCTTCTTTTGCCTTTTCCAAGCTTTTCTTCTTAATCTAAAACAAAACAAAGCCCAAGAGAATAAATTAAACCAATCTGATAATGAAAAAGAGTAAAAATAAGCATTTGTGCAATTAAGATATTTGAATTACCTCACTAATTCTCTTTGCCACATTTTCTTTATGATTCTTTCCTCTTTCATGAAACTCAATGCTCTTCAAAGTAAGAAAAAACCAAGAAAAGTAATATGTATTATACAATTTTAAAACAGTAAATTTTAGTTATTTAAAATTTAGTAAGACTAATTTTAGTTGAACAAGCCTAAATGTAACCTGCTCTGTGAACACTTACAGCAAACACTACAGCTCTAAAATGGCTATAGGAATACAAGAACACTGAGAAACATTCAACAGAGAAATTTATAAGATTTATTTTTTTTTCAAATAATACTGCTCAGCACACGTGTTAGAGACAAATAACAGGGAATCTGGGTTCCCTCTTCATGCTATCCTTCCATGTATTGTCATGGGTTTTTTTCCTGTTCTCATGCACTTTTAAAAACCATATGGGTTATTTAGTGTTCCAAGTATTAGCTACTGCCCTTAATTACATTATGCTTCACTTCAGAAATATCTCATGAATTTAAACTAATCTGAAGGTTTAAAGATCTGAAAAAGAGAGAAGGAGGAAAAGGCAAAGTGGAAGACTTGGATAACTAAGGATAACAGAACAGTCTGCAAGCCAAAAAGCTGCCAGAAAGACTGAAGCCAGTAGGAACTGGAAGGAGTTCAGAAGCTCAGGTATAACAGTGATAGTGCTCACGTGGCTCTTACATAAAAACATCTGTGCTTATTTGGGTGTTCAGATGTTAAATGCCTAAGCCTGACCTTTGCACAACCTGATGTGCAGAGGATGCACACTTTGGGATGACTCACTTGTTTAGAGACAGACTTCATAAATTGCTCAAATCCCTCTCTTGACACATATTTCTCTTCACTTACTCCAAGAAGATACCTGCAGTTCATGTGAGCTAATTAGGTATCTTACTGTAAACCAGAGGAAGCTCAGCTCTAGAAGCACCCCTGGCATCCAGACAGGAATGCAAAACTTACTGCTAAGGAGGACACCAACATGTCTAGTAGTTTGCAAAAGGCATCTGCAAGTCTGAAACACCTTTCTGTAACCCAGTAATGCCTCTGTGGGCTGTGTGAAATGAAAGAAACCTGCTTTAAGAGCCCAGAGCACTGGCTGTACTGTGCCTACCACATACAAACAGTACAGACACCAGGTTTTGCTTTCTACTTGCACGTGAAAGCAAAGGACAGGTGCAGACAGTTTCAAGACAGACCAAATGTTAAGTTACAGAACTCAAAGAATAAGCAGGGTCAGATATTTAGTCCTTATCTGTACTGCCAAGGAGAACAGCACACACCATCTTGTATGTGGGTATCTGGCTCTGATGTGATATACTTTAAATACCCAGAGGTATTACAAAGGCGTTTTCATAGAACAAATTTCATGCATCAACAGACTAGTATCAAAAAGTGATGTTTAAAGCCTGTAATTCAAATTCCTAATATTTCAAAAATGGACATAGTATGGTAGACCATCGTACAGGTCTGTTGTCTGCTATCCAGCACTTGCAGTAATCGCAGAATTTTTTAGGCTGAGATTTCCAGTAATCGGCCCTGGGGAAAGAAAAGAAAAGATGTATAATCTGAAACAATAACCAAAGCCACAGGTTTTCATATATATTTATATATATCTTCAGAAACGAAATTTAGTCTTCTTTGTGTGATTAAATACTGAGAGTTTGATTTTTTTTTTAAACCAAGACTGGGGAGCCAGTTAGAGCAGCTGTATTAACAACTGTGTCTCATAAACCACAGTTCAGTACTGGGATTTTGACCATCTGACCTCCAAAAACTGCAGAATTTTTACAACTGAGGCGGTGCTGTAAGAACCAGAAATACAAGACAAAGCAAGCCAGAGATAAACAAGCAGCTCTAGATACCCCATTTAAACATGAAATGGTCAGAAAAGTGCAACTTGCACTGTTTTTCATAAAAATGCTGGATAATGTACACAGTGAACTCAGCAACACAAAGGTGCAGTTCTAGACAAGGCTGAGCTACTGTGGGGAGTGAATCCCAGACCAGATTCTGACCTGTGGGGTCACACACACAGCAGCAAATTGTTTGGATGTTTCAATGTAAAAATGTAGGAATTTCTGAACCAAGTAATTAAATAAGCAAGGAAACATGGGGAAAACTCTTCAGAGCTGAAAAGTTAACATGTCGAAATATTTAACAATAAAACAAGCAACCTCCAAGGGCTGTTTCTTCATCAAAACCCAGCTTCTAATGCCAGATGAGACTTGTGTAGAAGCAATACTATTTCTCACTGGCTTGCAGCAACAGACACAATGCTTTGGTTCACCAGAACATATTCGAGCAAGATTTCTATGTTTTTAAGTTAAAATGACAAAGGATGAGGGACAAAATTTAAAAAATATTCACAATTACACTGAGAACATCAGAAAAATTGAATCTTGGTCTTTTGTCTGAAGACCACGGTACAAAGTTCAAGGAAAATACTTACTGACATTCTTGCTCAATAAAACCAAAACTTCTTCCATGCACAACAATAGCACCCTCAATTCCTATATGTGTGAGCAGACTTTAATTACAGAAACAGATCTGATCAACTTAACACCTACAATTTAAGCAGGTATCGAAACACTCTCTCCCACTAGTGCTTCACACATAAATACAATTACCAGGAGGCTATGATTATTTCAAAGTCTAAGTACAAAGGATGCACTCTGCAAAAATGTATCAACCTATAAGCAACAGTGTGTTAGCAATGTACAGCTTTTCAAGCAATTTCCTGGAAATTGAAGGAAGCAGCTGGGCTTTCCCCAGTTTAAACAGAAATCCGCTCATCCCTAAATGGTGTACTTTAGAACTATGTGATGACTCAGTCACACATTTAATTAAAAGGGGTTTTTTGAGACTTATACCCAAACATACTGGGGGCAAAGCCCAAGAAATCTAATGCTCTGGCTGGAAAACCAGTTGAGTGGGAGGAAGAAATTCAAAGCTCAGAAATGCCTCAAGATCCTTTTTCCTGCTTGAGCTATAAATTGTCTCTAAACCCTTAGACACAATCTACAATAAATTTCCAACTAAATGCAGAGGTAAACTTCCTACGGCAGTGGACCAATTTTGACAGAAAACATAAACTTTAAAAAAAGCCTCACTCATGTTTTGGATGTGCAAGAACCTCTGCTTTTTTCCAAGTTTAACCTAAGACAGAAGGCTCCTTCTCTTCAACAGAATCATATGTAAGTATTAAAATCAAGCCTGTACAGCTGCAACCACAAGTCAAGACCTGAGAATTTGACGAGATGTATTTTCACACCTCTATTTGACACCAATTTCTTTCCTAAATGCTGCTGGTCAGCAGATCAGTTTCAAACCACTGTAGCAATACATAAGAGTAATCACTCTGGAGAACCTGAGGGCACACCTGTGGCTTCAGTACAAATCCACATCCCAATAAAAGTCTTCTAGCTTCATCTCCTATTGGTTTGCATAAAAACTGGGGCTGTCTCTCTACTCTTACATATAAAATAAATGTAAATGGTAGTGTGCACAGATATCCTAAGAACCTTAAATCCTGCATTTAATGATTAATGAAATTGTGTAACTTACGATCTCAGTTCTGTGGCATGAGGAATTCTTACATACTCATACTTAAGAGCATGAGGAACCTTATATACCAAAAAATTCTCTTGAAGATTTTCTACTTGAGTTCACACAACTCAGAAAAAAATTCTTCCATCAAATAACATCTGCCACTGTAATAACAGCAGAATCTGCTAGGTTTCAGTGGTGCTGCAAGGAAAGCAAAACAAAGAGGAATATTTGGAAAGGAGCAGTAACTGAAGTGAAACTCCACTTTGTTGAGATGCTACAAGTGCTTCATGGGCTCCATTGACAATTCAGATCCATGACAATTTTTTAAGTCTGTTTTTTTTATCAATCTGACAAATACAGGCTTGGGACTAGATGCTCTTAAAATAGTATAGAGGTTTTTTATTCTTGAACAATTTTGTGCAAGTCATGGGAAATTCAGTTATTTTATAAAGTCATTGCAGTCAAAATGGTACAGCTTTTAAGACTCCTTGTTTTCTGTCAGCAATAAAGTTAAGGTTGATTCTTGTTTTCAGCTCTACAGCTGGGCCAGCCTCCTAAGGACTAGAAAGCTGGCCACCCGGCCAGCACCAGTACAACTCGTTTTTTCCTTTCACTGAAACGAGGAGACAGTCTAGAGTACATCACACCTGCCTTGTCCAAGTTTGCAGGGTTGAGATTTAGCACTGCACACATTTCACCAGGTGTGGCTCCCAAAAGGGAGCTTGGTGACACAGACCCAGAGAAGTGTGTGCCAGTTTTACTGCGAAGCTCTAACTCAGGGGAAGGGTTCTGGACTCTGGCTCTTTGGAGCCTGGCTTTCCAGAGCTGGCTGAGCAAGACAGCTTGATAGCCTGCTACCAGGGAACAGGGCAGCACCAATACAGATGGGTACTGGGCAACTTCTGGACAAACTGCTGCAGACACACCCAGCCTTGGAAATCCCATACTAATTCGCAACCAATTTGTGTCTCCTCCAGAAGAGTGATTTTCTTTCAACTTTTACTGGTCATACTACTCATGAGAATAATGTACAACATTTTAGGGGGTAAAGGAAAACGAAGGAAAGAAAAAGAGGAAATGAACATGACGGTTTTTTGAAACCCATGAGATGGTAAAGTCTTGGCTGCAAACAGCAGAGTGCAAATTGATCAATGTTAAAAACATTTTCAGATTTCTGAAATTAATTTAAAACATCAGAGTGAACAAGAAGACAAGAAAGAACAAGTAGCAACTCTACATTGACAATGCTTGTCCTGTTTGCCATTCCAAAAGATATTAAAATGATGAAACTCAGAGAGAAAGCACTGAAACTCAGGTATTTATATTCTGCATAAGACATTTCTTGAGCCAGGATAATCAAGCAGCCTACGCTGCAGTGTTACCAGGTTACACATCCCAGTGCAGGAACCACATATTTGGAAGTACGCAAGAAGCGCAGGTTCAGGAAGTAAGCTGCAGAGTAACTCAAGTATTTGAGTCCAGGGTCCTGAACCCTCAACCTGCAGGCTGCTTCTCCCCACAAGTTACCGTACCACTAATGTTTCAACAGGTGATGCAAACAGCTTTCCGTATACAGGGAAGCTTAAAAACCCTTGTAAAGTAGCTATCTTGAGCTGACACAGCTTTGCCAAACTTTACATGGAGATTGGGTTGGAGGATTTGCTCCTACCATGCACTGAAATCAAGGAAGGAGGAGAAACACAACTGGTTTAGGTGGTTCTGAACGCAATGAAAAAGAATTTTATTGTACAAACAAAATCTGGAAGCATTTGCTTTGAATAGCTCTGTTCTAAAATATCTGACTTGAAATCTGGCAGGGATGCAGGGTGTTTGTATGAGGGATGTATCTGTCCAAACCAGAAGCCCTCAGGGATAAAAAACAGTATACATGGGCTCAGTGTCTTCTTTGGTTTGAATACATACAACCTCCAAACACTTGACAAGAATTTAACATCTAACAGCTTTCTGGAAGTTTGAGCACTGAAGAGCTGCTACGTGCATCATCACTTTGAATACAGGTTTGTATAGTTCATGACTGCACAAGCAAATTAATTCAGGGTAGAGATTGTGGCTGTTCTGTAACAGTCACTCAAAAGGACACAATCTGTTATTATTTCTGAACACTATTTGGAAATACTGCATACTTCTGAACAAAAGTAGCAGTTCTGTAACAGAAAGAAGTAGAAAAAAACAAAAGAAAAAAAAAAATTCCACATACTTCACAACAGACCCTCCTCCATATGGGAAGCTGTTCCAGAACAGCTAATTCTAATTCAAATATCCTAGTATTGGTGAGACATAAAATTGCAATGCTAAGATTGGCAGAGAAGATCAAAAATGTTTTCTTGTACTGTTAAGTAGGTCCCAGTGCCATGGCCACTAATGACTCACCCTCCCCAATAATTCAAAGCAACTCTGTTCATTCATGGTGTACATAACTGTACCCTAAAAACACTTCTTAGTTAAAGACTCATAACTTTTGGGTTTTTTTAAGGTATGTAAAAATGAGGTCTAAAGAAGAGAGTATCCTTGATGTTTCAAGTACATAGGACTGTCTTTCTGCCTAACCCCAGTTTGCTGGCTTTCTAATAGATCACACAATGTATGTTTATACATGGGCTCCAACAGAGTAAGACCGGATGGGAGTTTCATCCACATGAAATATGGCAGTTCTCTGAAGGGCTTTGCTCTTCTGGTCCTCAAGTTAATTTATTTTTTGCAAT